TGATACCTGGCCCACTGAAGGTTATTTAGGTACACAATTAAGTCACATCTCTGAAGAAACAAGCCACTACACTCTTTGCCTACAGAGGTCAAAGTTAATTACAAAGCTAATAGCTCCTTAGTAAGAAAATAAATTATCAAAAAAAAAAAAAATGCTGCCTTGCCCTTCTTTTCAGCTTCTTCGGCTACCTGGAAAGATAAATAATAGATAATACCATCCTGAAGCTGAGCCTTCCAGTAGCACTTTAGTAATGAGCTCCCTGACTTAATTCTGCACAACATGCAGGAAAGATTTTTCCAAATATTTGTGGTAAATTGGAACCAACTCACTGCAACAAGCTAAAGCTTGGAGGATCAGGCCCATAGAGAAGATTTTAAAGGGTTTTTTTAGATTTATTAAAGAATCATTGACAAATACAAATTGTAAATATTGGGGCTGGTACGTGGCTCAGAGGTAGAGAGCATACAAAGCCCTGAGTTCTATCCCCAGCACCAAATATATCATCACATATGTACAGTATACAGTGTGATGTTTTGATATATGTATGCATTGTAAAATGATTTGATCAGTCTAACTAATATATCTATCACTTCATATGTATCTGTTTGTGGTGAAAACATCTAATACCTTCTCTCTTAGTAATTTTAAGTATATAATGTAATATTATTAACTAGAGTCACCGTACCATACAAGAGATCTCCAGAATTTATTATTGTTAGAGAAAATAATTTTGAAACTCAATCACATGTAACCATATGAAATTCCATTCTCTCTTGTGAGTGGCAACCTCCTAACCCATTTAGAAAGTTCAGTTTTCAGAATTTCCAGCTCTATGATGATTAGCCACCCTTGGCTTTGTGCAGATATGAGAATTCTAAAATAGCACCCCTAAATTTAAAATGTTTTAGGACTGGGGATGTGGCTCAATGGTAGAGTGCTTCCCTATCATGTATGAGGCCCTGGATTTGAGCCCCAGGACCATAAAAGAAAAGTAAAAAGTCTGGCATGGAGGTGTACTCCTATAATCCTAGCTACTTGTAAGACTGAGACAGGGGGATTGCAAGTTTAAGGTAAACCTCAGCAGCTCAGCAAGGCCCTAAGAAATTTAGTGAGACCTTGTCTCAAAATTAAAAAAATAAAAAGGGTCAATGATATAGCTCAATGGTAAATTTCCTGAGTTAAATTCCTAGTACCCTCCAAAATCTTTAAATCCAATTAGAATGTATACTAGTGATTATTAGAGGCCAGAAAGGGCTGGGAAAGATAGTATATTATGGGTACTGAAGCTTAGATAGATGGAAGTCACAAGTTCTAGTGTTCAACAGCACTGTGGAGTGCCCATAGTTCACAATAACCTATTATTTATGCTGTGAATAACTAGATGATAAAAGCCTTCAGCTCCAAACATAAATGGTAAGAAGAATGAAGCACTGATTACCCTGATTTTATCAGTAAATATTGCATACTTGTTTTGAAATGTCATACTGTACCACATAATTACAGTAATTACATGTTAATCAAAAGAATGTTTTAAATGTTCAAGGAGTGGGAAATATTAACTACCCTCATTTGAACATTGTACACTGCATACATGCACCAAATTATGGCGTTGAACCCACAATTTAGTATGATTGAAATAAATAAAATAGAGCCATGGTTCAGAGGCAGCATGGTTCAGTGCTCAGAAACTCTTGGGACTCAGTGGTAGCTGCAGGAAGAAAAGTTAGGAGAAGAATCCAGACTCTTAGGAGTTCGATACTGAGAACTTTCTGTAGGAATAAGAAGGAACTCAGAATATTTCCTTAAATATATACATCAGAAGATCAAATCTGAAAGGATAAGATTTGGTCCCTGGGAAAGGAAAAAAGTTGAGCCAAGGTTAAACAATGATGTAAAATTCTTCTTAAAATAATAGCAAACCTCATCCAAGAGCACATCAAAAAGATCACATATATAAATCATTATCTTAGGTATGCAAAAATGCTTCAACGTATGCAAATCAATAAATCTGATTTATCACATCAACTGAAGGAATAATAGAAACCTCATAATCACCTCAACAGATACAGAAAAAAAAGCATTTGATAAAAATCAACATCACTATATATTAAAATCCTCAACAAATTAGAGAAGGAATGTATTTCAATACAATAAAGCCTGTATATGACAAAACCCACATCATAATGAATGGGGAAAAGCTGAAATCATTTCCTCTAATATTTGTTCCTCTAATAGGAGAAACAAGAAAAGAATATCCACTTTCACCACTGCTATTCAACATGGTGTTAGAAGATTTAGTCAAAGCATTAAGACAAGGGAAAGAAATAAAAGGCACCCAAATAAGAAAGGAAGAAGTCAGATTATCCCTCTTCACATGTGACATGATAGTATAATTAGAAAAGCCTAAAGATTGCATTAAAAAGCTGTTGAAAATAATAAATTCAGTGACATTGTGGGGTACAAAATTGACGTATAAAAATCATTGTATGTTAATCATCTTTATACACCAATAAAGAGACTGTCACATAAATAATAGCATGTACAATAGTGAAATTCACAAAGAAAAAGGCACAGTGTCTTTATGGCCCTGTTGGGGTTTGGAGACAATATACTCCACAACTAGTAATATTGTTCCCACCCATACACTGAATGACACAGGAATCTACCAGCATTAAATGGGATGCAGAGTCAGAAGTGACACCATTGTAGCAAAAATAATCCTGCCACCATAGCCACAAAATACTTCAGACTTTATGGCATTGAAAGATTTAATAATGGGAAGGAAACAATAGGGAACTTATTAAAGCCACGATGTGAGATTTACTAGTATCCTGGGATTCAGGGGCAAGTTCATGCCATTCACATTTAAGAAATTTTTGGCTTTTGCAAAGCAACTTCTGATCTGTATCTGATCACTGATAAGAAAGGGATGTTTGCACACAGGTTTGGCAGTGCATCCATACCTCATGATGAGCAGAATCCTGTCATATTCTCCAATCAATAAAATTATACAGGCACAACAGTGATCTTCACCACAAGGTGAAGATGATATATCTGAATTGAGCCAAAGAGCACCATGAACTAAGCTGCAATTCAAATATATAGGAATTCAAATGTATAGGAAAAGCTTCCCATTCCTATCTGCAGTGCTACTTCCATTGAATAATCATTGTTCACTTTACTGTTTATCCTTCCTAATTATCCTTATGTTCATATACACATACATAGGGAGACACTTTTATTCATCATAGATTTTTGTCTTTTTAAATATGTAATTAGTGCTGTACGTTGATCCATAACTTGATTTTGTTTTCATCTGACAGTGACTGCACAAAATAGTTCTTTCCAGAAAGGATACAGGTGGAGGGAAGAGAAAGTGGAAGTACTGGGGACTGAAGTGGAGAAAATTATATTCCATGTTTATATAATTATGTCAAAATGAACCCCATTATTATGGAAATCTGTAATAATGCACTAATAAAAACATTTTAAAAAATAATTATTTCCAGGTCAGTCAGTGAATACCTAACTCATTCTTTTTATTTGTTGCAAAACATTTTGTAGAAAGATTATTCATTTATTTTCTTCTGATGGATAGTCACATTATTTCTTTTAATTTTTCTTTGACACTACATATAATGCTGCAATATATATCATCTTTATTCGTCACTGTTTATATTTCTGAGGTCTAGATTTCTAAATGAGGGGTTTCTAAGTCAAAGTGTTAGGACTCAGGGTATAGAAAGAGAGATCAAATGATGGGAAACAGAACACAGTTAGATAGAAGGAATAATTTCTGACCATTTTGCAGTACAGTGGGGTGACTATAGTTCACAATAGTCCACTACATATTTTATGAAGCTCTGGAAAAAAGGAGTTTGGAGACTCCAAGCATACAGAAATAATAAGGAGGGGCAAATCTTAAATACTATGACTTAACTGGTACAAACTATTACGCATGTGATGAAATATCACTCTAAACCCCATTAACATGTACAATTAATACACATTAATTACAAAAATAATTTTTAAAAAGCATGCCTGGGGTCCTAATTAGAATAAGATATATTCCATGCATATATAATTTTATCAAATACTGTCACATATAACTAAATAGAGCCAATAAAAACAACATATACATTTATCTTTTTAAATGGAAACTACCAAATTTCTGTAAGGAAATGGAGTCATACACTATCAGCAGGAAACAAGTGCACATAGTCATATAAGAACCTCAACATGATTAAAACCATTCATTTTCCTTCTGTAATGAAAAGCATTGCATTTGTTGTTTGTTTTTTTAGAGTGGATTTTTAAAAAAGTATTGTTGTAGATGGACACAATACCTTTATTTTACTTATTTATTTTTATGGGGTGCTGAGGGTTGAACCCAGTGCCTCACACATGCTAGGCAAGTGCTCCATCACTGAGCCACAACCATAGCCCCTATATTTGTTTTAATTTTACTTCATTTACCTTATCAATAATTATTTTGAACATTTTCCCAACATTTTTGGCAATTAGCAATGACATTTCTGTGGATTGTCTATTCATCCACTGGCTTGTGAATTTCTTTTTGTAGGTTTGAGGCTCTTTGTGTATTAAGGATATTACCTCACTGGTGTCACATCCACAAAAACATTTTCTCACCTTTAATTGTTCTCCTTTTAACATTGTAGTGCTTTGATCTTTCCTTTAGCAATTCCAATTTTCATGTCTGGATTAAAAAAATATTCACACACTCAAGATTCACCTAATTTTCCCCTAGTATATTTTTACATTTATGTCCTCAATTCATCTCTAGAATATTTTGAAATACTCATCTGTCACAAAGAATAAGACAGAGATGGGAAAAATATTTAAGAACGTCCCCATTTTAAAAATAACCTGTGAAAAGGCCAAATCAGGACTGGCATGCAGCCTTTGATTCCCAATCCAGTGCTCCTTTTACTATATATTTAGCATTAACATCTATGGCCCTGTGTAAATAGAATCCTACCTTACCTAGCTATTAGAAAATGTTTCCTCTCCAACTGTCTCCTAAAAGCATCTTTCACCTCCTTGTTCCTCAAGCTGTAGATGAGGGGGTTCAACATGGGGATCACCACTGTATAAAACAGAGAAATCACTTTATTAATACCCAGAGAGGAACTTGAGCCAGGGCGGACATAGATGAAGAAAAGTGTCCCATACAGAATAGTGACAGCTGCCAGGTGAGAAGAGCAGGTGGAGAAGGCTTTCCACCTCCCTTCTGCAGTCTGGACCCTTGAGATGGCCACGAGGATGCAAACATAGGAGACCATGATGATGAGGCCACTGAGAACTCCGATAGCTCCTGCGAAAATGAAGAGCACCCACTTATTGACGGAGGTATCAGCACATGCTAGGGAAAGCAATGGGGAAATATCACAGAAGAAGTGATTCACAGTATTTGGACCACAGAAGGGTAAGCAAAAAGTGAGTGTTGTATGGGTCATGGTGCTTATTAGAGCTATGGTGTAAGGCCCTGTAACCAGCTGCACACAGACTCTCTGGGACATAATGAGAGTATACAGCAAGGGCTTACAGACAGCTGCGTACCGATCGTACGCCATGGCAGCCAGGAGGAGACATTCAGCTGCCACAAAGAGACCAAAGAACCACATCTGGGCAGCACAGCCCACAAAAGAGATGGCTTTTCTCTCTGCAAAGATATCACTCAGTGTCTTAGGTGCAATGGAAGAAGAGGAACAGACATCCACAAAGGACAAGTGACTAAGAAAAAAGTACATAGGAGTGTAGAGTCTGGGATCAAGGCATATGAGAATGATCATCCCCAAATTACCCCCAAGGGTGACAAGATAAGCAAAAAGAAGCAGGATGAAAAGGACAATCCTCTGATGGAGAAGGTCTGTGAAGCCCAAGAAAAGAAATTCTGTCACTGCTGTTCCATTCTTTTCTTCCATTGGTCAGTTGGAATCTGTTGCAAGAAAGAAAAAAAAACTATTTTATTTCAAAAAAATCAATCTTTAACAGCCATAAATAATAGTTTTATCCAGTGACAGATTATCTTAAATAGGTCTATAACAGACAATTGTGAAACAGCCTTGAACAATAATATTCCCAGCTACTAGATGTGGACTGTTGTGCAAAGATCCTGTGTAAACTTGGGCAACCTGCCTTACTTAGGTCTCTCAGTACTCCATCCCCACCCACATCAAGAATGGTTCAACTACAGGGTATAAAACTCCCTCGGATTATAAAATTACACTTGAAATGAAAATTACTCTCCATATTTCAACTTGCTCTGTGATGAGACTATAAAACCCATCTAGGAATACCTTTATGGAGAGTACTGTAAAAACCAATGAGAGGTTCAGGACCAGATGTTAGACATCAGGGTAAAGCTATGCAAGGGAATTATTATTCTTATTGAATGCTCAATAATTTCATGATGATGTTAATATGTGATTTACATGTATCTCTCTATTCCCTATTCCTCCTTATAAAGGGATGTGGGAAAAAGACAATATGCACATTTGACAAAGAGGTTGCTCATCTGAAATTTAGTAGAAATAAATGATAAGTTACTTATGTTCTTGAAGAAGAGAAAATACATTTACTTGATGACAGATGTGAAGTCAGAAGAACTATCATGAAATATATATATATATACATATATATGTGTGTGTGTGTATATGTATATATATATATATATATATATATATATATATATATATATATATATCAGAGGAGAAGAAAGAGAAGAGGGTAGAATTTTTTCTTAACTGCGTAATTCCTATAAAAGAATGAGATGCTGTGGAAGGACATGAGGTACTCTGACTTAGAGATCAAGTGGTCTGACAAATGTCGACACAACTCATCATGGAAATTGTATACAAAATAAAGCATCCATTGAGCTGAAATGACACAAAGCTCTATTAATGATTGCCTATATTATACATAACTTCTTTTAAGAAGTCATATATATACTGAAATCAATTATGCTAACAATGTAGTGAAATGTCAACTGTACTTTGAGGGACAGCCCTCAATAAAATATTTTATGAGTGACTCATTAGTCAAGTAATAATAAACAAAACAGTTTAAATTTCCTAGAAGAAGACAATTATGTCACATAAAAAATTTATAGAGGAAACTTCCATTTTATTCAATATAATCAGTTAATTCACTGTGTACATAAAAGCCATCTTCAAGTTATATGATGATTATTTCCTGGAGTTCAACACAGAATATTTTCAAATAATAATGACTTCATCTACTTGATTTTTTAAAATTATTTTTTCATTATCATTATTATTGGATTAATGCTCTAGGAAGTATATTTTTAGCAGTTACAAAGATAACTCTAGATTTTCAATAGGAACATTATCCATTAAAGAAATGATTTTGTTGATGTTCATTTAACTATGACACTATAGGAGGGTGGGGATAGAAGGAGTGTAGATGGCTTCTAGTTTTAGTCCAGTGACCGTTTATTTATTCATTTATTTATTTAGATACACTTAACTTGAGTCTTCTACAAAATGAGAATGATCATTATGTCTTTCCCATGTCTAACATTTTGTTATCTTCAAGTTCTTTATGCATATAATCTCTCTTTTTTTACAGAATTTATTTTTAATTTACAAAGAAAGACATATATTTATCGTGTACAATGTGATGTTTTGAGATATATATACCTTGTAGAATGGCTACCTCAAGCTAATTCACAGAGAAATTGTTTAACATGCATTGTTTAGCAGGCTTATGATATGAACACATGAAATATTGCTTAGCAATTTTCAAAACTACAGTACATTATGATTAACAGTATCTCTATATTACTTTTAAATAAATGCAATTCAGTCCAGGAAAAGACACACGACCCCGTTGTTTGACTTCAGGATGATGTGAACAAAATGTCCAAGTCTGCTCTCTTTAGAGCCACTTGGGGTGGGAGGTTAGACTCCCAGGGCTCACACTAGTCCTCATGCTTTCCAGCCAGATTTCAAAAACTTCATATTGTACAAAATGCAGGCTACTTACTTCTCTAAGGATGTCCTTCATGTATCCCTTCATCTACTTCAAAGGAAATGATCTATTCTCCAGGTAATCTCCAGGAAGACTCAACTTCCTTCCTGGCTATAACCTTGCCAAAAGCAAGACTTTCCGGGCACTTGGTGAAGAAGACAAACCCCTGGTTATCAAGAGATCACACTTGTCCTCTTGTCCTGCGCATTACACAGTCTGTACACATACTGTACAGAACAAGGGACATTTTCTTGGGAATTTTCAATAATTTAGAGCCAGGCCCCTAAAGAATTTGAAACCTCATGGGCTTACACCAAAAGGGACAAAATTTAAATGATCTCAATGGTATTTGGGCCAAGTTTTATTTCCTAATAGTATCTTATCTCAAAGCCAAGATTCCTAAGAAAAGTGTGTGTGTGTGTTTGTGTGTGTGTGTGTGTGTGTGTGTGTGTTCCTCTTTGGGATCCTCCTTGCCAAAGCCAGCCCTCTTTTCTCTCAGTAGAGACTGATGCATGAAATGGGGTGAAGTAATTCATTGCCTGGACTCTGGAGCCACGTTATTTTTGCATAAATGCCAAATTTTTAGTTAACTGACTGTCACTTCAGAAACTATTTCATCCTGCCCATACCTCATTCCTGTCATCTCGAAAATAGTAACAACAAAGGTTTATAGCTCACATAAATGTTGGAAAGATTGATTAAAGTAGTACACGTACTTAAAAGAGTCCCCAACACAGTAGGTTCTTGTTAATGTCACTTCTTCGAGATCAAAGCATGGCTAGAATACTCAGACTTAAAGAAGTAAGACAACATGGCATTTACTTGTTTTTTTTTTTTTTCTTTTTCTTCTTTTCTTTTTTAATCGCCATTTGCTTCTCTCTAGGTAATCTTACAATGCAGTCACTGAAGCCCAAAGGAAGCTGGAGTAGATGAGAAAGTTTTCCCAGGAAGAATTGTCAAGACAGTATGATTCAGGTAAACTGAATTAAGAAGAAAGCCATTCCAGAAATACTAATTAGATGAGCAGAAACAGAAGCAGGAATAGAAGTAAGGAGATCGGGATGGGACGATGACACGAGAGAGAAAATGGGATGATAAGGGTTGAACTACCACTGTCACCGCCTTCTCTGAAGATCTTGATGCTTATCTCATCAGGAAGAGCTGACGTCTCACTCTACAAACTCCCACAACATTTCTTCGGCAGCTCACTTTTAACTCCTATTAAGTATCTATCTCAGAAGAAGATAAGCTATATTAGCACCTGACTTAGTATACATTACCGAGGATATCGTTTAGCAGAGATAAAGAGAGAAAATTCATGATACCAAAGGGTCCAACTTAACAAAAATATGTAACAATTCTTAATATTCATCTAAAAAGAGAGCATCAAAATATATGAAGGATTGATGGGACCGGAGATAGAAATAAGTGAATCCACAGTTAGAGTTGGAGATCCCAACAGTGTACTCTCAATATTGATAAAACAAGGAGACTACACATCAAAAAGAATATAGAAGGCTTAGACAACACTATGAACACACAAAAAAAATGACATTTATATAACACTCCAACCAACAAGTTCATAATATACTGTCTTTGAGTACATTTAGAATTGTTATAGGGATATATGATATTTGGAGCCATAAAAAATAGATTTTTAATGTTTCTATTAGTGCATTATATTATATTGATTTTACACAATAATTATACATAATATGTATGATTTTGACACAATCATACATGCATGGAATATTATTTGCTCCACTTAAGTCCCCAGTGCTTCCTCTTTACCTCTGCTCTTCTCTTCCGCTGTTTCCCTTCCTTTACTCCATTGGTCTTCCTTCTGTTTATCTATTGTTTTTTTTAAAATTGGTGTTTTATAGATACACAGAAAAGTAATATTCACTATAGAGTATTATATATGTGCATAGCATATTTTATTAGTAGTATAATTTATTATTATTTATTATCGGGCCTTTATCAGATGTATAGTTTACAGATATTCTCTCGGGGTCTATGAGGTGTCTCTTTACTCTGTTATTTCCTTTGCTGTGAAAAGCTTTTTTATTTAATGCAATTCAGTTTATCTAGTTTTAGTTTTGTTTCTCATGCTTTGGGAGTGAGTCATATCCAAAAAAAAATTGTTACCCAAACCAAAGTTGTACAGCTTTCCCCCTATATTTTCTTCCATTGGTTTTACAGTCTCTAGTCTTACATTTAAGTTTTAATCAGCTTGGGGTTATTTATGTATATGACATGAGATAGAGTTCAGTTTCTTTCTTCTGCATGTGGATATCTAATTTTGCCTACAACACTATTGAAGAGTCTATCCCTTGCCTATCATGTAATCTTGTGATCTTTCTCAAAAATCAATTGACCATAAATTAATGCTTTATTTCTGGGCTTTCTCACCTGTTCCATTGGCTACCGTGTCTATTCAGGCTAGTACTGTGCTGTTTTGATTACTGGAGCTTCAAAATATATTTTAAAACCTGGTAGCATGTGCCTCTAGTGTTTTTCTTTGTTCACTTCAGGTCATTTTAAATTTTATATCAACTTGAGAATTCTTTTCTATTTCTCTGGAAAATACCATGAAATTTTTCATAGAGATTGCACTGAATTTTTAGATCATAGATTGAATTTGTAGATCATTTTGAGTAGTATGGGCATTTTAACAATTTAAATTCTTCCAATTCATAAACACAGGATAAATCTCTATTACCTTGTGTCTTCTTCAATTTTTTCCACCAATGGTTTATAATTTTTCAATAGAGAGATTTTTCATCCTAGGTTAAATTTACTCCTATTTTATTTTTTGACACTTTTATAAATGAGATAATTTCTTCTTAAGACAGTTTATAGTTGACATAATCACACATACATTGGTTATAATTTCTTCTACTTCAGTCCCCAGTACTTTGATTCTTTGAAA